TTAGATCATCAATCAGCAGCAAACAGGGCTTTGTTTCAGTACCCAAAGATGACTTGATTCTGTTGTATAATGGTTGAAGAGTAAATGTTGGGGCTCTAGGAAAACAATTTAAAAATAGTAGCTTTCAACCTCAACAAAACAACATTTCAGAAAGAGGAGCATATATTGATACAGTTGGAACTTCATAGTTAAGTAATCATGTACAGTGGCATGAAGGAAATAAGGTTGTTTCTACCCTTCTTACTAAGAGCATTTTTTCAGGTTTCCTTGGACAGTTCGATCATCTATACTTCTAAAAACAATATGGAAGAATCAGAAAGGAACTGTGAAAGTTCTCCAACTCACAACCCAGCTACAGCAAAAACCCAAACCTTGATATTTGAAATTCAGGAACTTGCCATTCACTCCTATGCATTATGGGTAATCTCATGTTTACAAAATAATACTCCTCAGTCTGACTAACAAATTCAGCACATGTAAAACAGTTTTAACAAAAATAGAATAAAGTTAACTATCTTGTAAACTGCTTAATATAACAGACAGGCTTATCAGCTAGAGGAAAACATTCGGGTAAAGGGCCAACCTCTTCTGTCTAGTACCTAATTTACATGGAAACATATGACAGAAGGTAGGAAGAATTACTAATTGGATCTTGGAAGTTTAAGGGTTGACTCACAGTATATATTTTTGTTTTTTACTTCAGTTTAAGGGACCAGGTGCACCTCAACTTAATCCAGTTATGGAAGCATTCTTGAAATTTTTCAACCAAATTTTGAAAAGACTTTTATTATACAATTTTGGAAACCTCTTGCTGTGGAGAAGGAAATCAGACATGCTAAATAATTCAGAATTGCAAAAAGAATTACCTGACATTTTTAAAAGGGTTGCTGTGATCTGCATTTTCATTTCCTACTGTGTTACTATGTGAGTTTTTGAGGGCATCTTGTTGACTTTCATCAGCTAAAGCTTCAGATATACAACTTAAGCCATCGACATATGTCACCTGGCCACTCTCACAGATACTGCTGAGGTTTATACCCTGAATAACAAAGTTTCACATGACAATTACAATATGTTGGGAATTGCTTATTTAGTTGTTTTAACCCTGCTTTGATTCCCAGAAGTGATCAACATGAAACTTCTCCTGATAATATCCATACATTATTCAGCAAACAGGTTATGAAAATATTCAAACTCATTGGGTAAAGGCTGCTCTCTTAATCTAGCACCAAGTTCTCATATCAAATTTAAAAGGAAATGTGTAACAGCTAGAAGGGAGAATTAACCATCAGATCTTGGGAGTTAAAGGGTTAAATCAAATGTTTTCTGGTGAAGGAAGCCAGAAGGGAGAGAGGAGGGGTACCCTCTTTAAGTCTTACAAGTGACCAAGACAGAATTTCTCCTCACAAAATCAATACAATATCAAGCAGACTAGTGATGAGAATAAGGAAAAATATCAATTAGGTGATTATTAGTTGATCCAATGCCAAATTATCTAAACTAACATCATAAGAATTGAATAGCTGATGGCAAGGAGAATTACTACTAAGATCTTAGGAATGAAAGGATTACCACGTAGCCACTGAGTTAGACACTGGCTGGCAGTAGCCAAATGTACATGCAAATAAAATGCCCAATACAAGACCAAAATTATGAAAGTAAAGAAGAGAAATATCAACATAAAATGATTGGTATCAAGATCAAAACATTTTTCCGAAATATGCTACTCTGGGTTTGACTGTCACTTCCTCAGGAGACTTTTAGAAAAAATTGAAATGATAGAGGTATCAATCCTGTTGCTTCTAGTAACATCAAGAAAAAAAATATAGACATGTCTAATTCTCACCAATTTCTGTGCAACATTACTGTAATGAGAAAAAGACTGGACCAAGGCAATGAAAAGTACTTTGAAACCTCCTGAAAAAAACAGAAAGACAAATATACAAAGTTCTAAATTTCAGAAACTATGAACTGTGGTGGAACTCTCTCCTGCAGGGAAGTAACATATTAGAAGTAATATAGGCAGGTCTTACTTCCAGGCAGTCACAAGAGATTGAGAGGGGTTCTCTACAACTGACAAAAGAGATCTTCATTTAGAAGTAATATAGGCAGGTATTTCTTATACACAGTTAGGAAAGCTGTAAGACTCGAGAACAAACATTTATCTTTCAAATTATCACTCTTAATCCCTGCTGTATCAATGAGCATTTTTCATTCAAATGAATTTATTCTTGTTTTCTCATCACCATATTCCCACCAATACCATAGTTCCATACTCTGCATAAACTCAAACAAAACACAAAATTCCTCCAATTGCTCCAACAAAGAGCTAACAATTGAAATGTCAGCTTTTAAACTCTTTATGATGGCCAATTTACGTTATCATCTCAGTTGATAATACTCAATTACTCAGGTCCTACTTTGGCAACTTTCTAGAACATAGGAATGCTGGCTGTGATCCTATGATAAATTTACCATATTACTTCTAAGTAATTATGAGAGAGGTGACATAAACCCTTACACCACCTTCCAATGAAATGTGCTCTTTTTAAGTAGAAGACAGTATGATAAAACAATTAGCTGTTTGTGCTTAAATAGAATGTGTATTGTATAAAGCAAAGTATGGATACATCATTAACAATTGAGATCAGAAATTGTAGACTCCTGAATTGATCACTCCACCCACCTTTGATGTACAAGGATAAAAAATGATGAATGAGAAAGCTTCCATCATTTTGACAATCTGTTATCAGCAAAAACTTTCTCTGAAAACCATAAGTTACAAGAATTATGTAAAACATCTGATTCATAACACTACTATTTGATTAAATTAAATTTTTCCTAATTTTGAATATCATTTTTTATATAACGCCATTATCGAAATGATATTATGGGGTCCTCACTAATTTTGCTTTTGGAAGGTGGGGTGGGGGAATATACAGGGTTACTTAATAAATGAACTGTACAAAGCTGCTCCACCACACCACAGGTGTGATGTTGAAAGGAGTCACTAAACAAAAACAAATTTAAGGGGGGTGCTTATTAGAGATGGGGCGCTTATATTGAAAGGAGGGCACTTACTCAATTTATTACAGTAGAATAACAGCCAGCAACAATTTAGCCTGTAATTGATGTTCTCTTGGCAAGATTTTGTGATCTATTGTACTGGGATACAAAATCATTTTCCTTAAAAACTAAAAAATCTTTTGTTATCAGTTAGATTG